TGTCCAGGGTGCTGACCGGGCCGGGGGAGCCGCGGCCGGGCCCTGGGCGTTCCCTAGGGAACCGTGTCCCTGGGTGGAACCGGTTACCAGCACCCCGGGATACCCACGCAGTCAACTGGTGTGTAGCTTTTGGGTGTAAAACTGTTACAGAAATGGGTCACTTTGGAGGTTTTGTGGTGTAGCAGAATATGTCAGTTAATAGCAGGGCTGGTGTATCGAAGAGAAACTTATCAGAGACTTTAAAGAGTGTCTTTTAAGTAGCGCTTGTCCGTGAGATGGTTGCAAGGGTTTATAGGTTTTACATTTTCATTATAAAAACCAGTTCATTTGAGAATATATCTACTTCCCTGTAATCGTGCTGAAATGATCCATCAGCTTTTGTTGTGCAAGGAGTGGAAGGAGGTGCTGTTCAGTTGTTGGATAGATCAGGAAGATGCTTGTTCAACTGAAGCAGTGCATCTTTAAAATAGGGGGGGTTAGTTTGTGGGGTTGTTTCATATATCTTTTTAGCAGTGTTTACATATGTTAAAACAGTACTGCAGAGAAATTTATTATGGCAGTAATGGCTAGAAACTGGAAAATGTTCCCTTTAAAGTGGTCCTGATATGAGAAAGGATTTTCTTTCCAATTTTTCCTAAGATTTAAAAACTTAACACTATATTTGATTAAATGGGGTTTTTTTAAGCAGTAATACTGAAGAAGTCTTAAAATTGTTAGTTTAGAAAGCCTGCTATTAGAAACTGTTATCTGTATAAAAATGTGGAATGACAGAAAAAGTAATTTAAAAGTTTGTTTTTATTTAGTAAGACTTGATTATGAGATGCTGACTGTAAGGCCTTGTGGAAACTTAAGAACCCGTTTATGTTCTTCGTATTTGTATTCTGCATTAATGCACACTTTTTGCTTAATCCATAAGTATCTATTTGGGGAATTTTACAGTTAGACACGTGCTGGTACAATTGTGCTGTAATTTAAGTGGATAAAAGTGAAGAAGAGAAAAAAGTGTGCCTTTTGTGTCTTGAAAAAATTGTCTGTATCATAAGCACTGAGACAGAAATATTAATACAGCTGGTTAATTTTTTACTTCTTTTTTTTTCTGTGTTAGCTGGAGATACAGATGATCCTCCAAGAATTACTCAAAATCCTGTCATCAATGGGAATGTAGCAATGGCTGATGGACATAACAACACTGAAGAAGACATGGAAGATGGTAAGTAAATATTTGATAAAAATGTGATTTATGATTTGTGAGGACAAAACGGTCCATGCCTTACCTATGTCCTCTGAACTGCAGCTCATTAGAAAAATGAAGCCCACTGTAGTTATGACTGGTTTTCTGTACAGGCATCCTTTTAACGTAGCTATACAATAGGATTAGGCATATGAGACCCTGGGATTTTTTTCTCTTAGCTCTCTCTAGGAACCTATTTTAAAATTGCTGAAAGTGATACTGTCCCTTCTTGTATTTAGTGATATGTCCCTTTAAACGTACTGTAGCTGGTGCCTTGCTGAATAGTAATTTTGTCAGTTATGCAATTCCTTCAGGATGTTTAGAATCCTTATTTCTTCTATTCTGTTGTGAGGTGGCAGTGGTGATCAGTTTTTATCTTTGTATAAGTCAATGTTGAGAACATTTCCTCCCCCAACTCTGCTGTTTCTTTACTTGAAGATGCAAAGGAAGAAGCATGTATTGATATCCTGTTAATAAAAGGGTACAGTGATTGTGTTTCTGAAATGCTCTTTGTTGGTCTATTAAATACAAATAAGGGTGTACAGTTTTTTATGTTACAGAAGATCAAATAATTTTTTAAGTAGATATGTCTGGGCTTATTTAAAGGAAGATAATGAGTTTGTAATTCACTTAAGTCTGTTATTATATTTAGTGAAGAAAATGTACAATGATATTTCTTAGGAGAGGATATAGGGGGGACTGCTCTTATTTTGAAGAACTAAATAAAATTGAATTGGGAGAAGGGAGACAAGATTTGAGTGGGATTTGTTCCCCTCTGATTCCTTATTTCATGCTGTCTTGTGAGAGTATATTCAGGACTAGGCTTAAACATTTATTTAGATCTGTGCAAAATGTTGAGTGATCTGTTTGTTTAAGAAAAGTCAGAGTTTGAGGTTAAAGGTCAAAAAGGTGCTTACTTTCAGGTATTAAGGAACATAAATAGTTAGATTAATAATAGAAAACAGTAATGTTCCATTAAAGGACTATGGTTTAAATTCAGGACAAAAGCATCTCATGGTTGAATTGCCCCTGTATTGTTGTCAGAGATAAAGTTTCCTATGATCAGATTCTCACAATAAAAGTAAAAATGAGGTCTGCTTAGCCTATTAATTTTTTTTTTTTTTGTCTGATTGCTTGATCTCATTTAGGGGGCTTTGATTTCTTGCTCATAGTAACTAGCTGAGACTGAAGTAGGGAATTCTGTTTTTATCAAAGTCAAGTTGCCTGTGACAAAAGATGTTAAATGTCTTTGTTGGGCCATGCTATTTGGAGGGTGGTGAGAGAAGATCATGTGGGTTAACACTGACTGGCAAGGACAACTCTGTTCTCAGTAACAGTGTTTATGGGTAGAAAGCCTGACAGTGTTTGCTATCAGCACAGCCAGCAGATAACACATTAGTCAATTAGTACAAAAATTCATCTAGAAGTGGGCCTGTATATACTCAGACAGATGAAGGAAAAGGGACTTAAGCAGCAGAAGCAGCTGATGAAACCTAGGCCGTATTGAGGATGGCAAGTAATCATATGTACACATCTTCATTGAGAATAACATTGACTTTTTGATCAAAAAGCTACTGTAAAACAGTTTCTGTCATTTACCAAATATTCAGCTCTGTTGGAGAACTGGATATGAAGGTGGCATGGTAGGGAGAAGTGTCTGAAGGTGTTCAGCAAAAGGCTTGTGAAAGCTTCTGTGTTTATGATAGTCCTCATGGCTTCGTGGTGTTTCAGAGTATGGTCAGGAGCTTTGGTCCACTCTGCTGTGGGACATCTTTCAGGGTTAAAATGTGATTATTAAGCAATACTCCAATAGTTCCTCATTATCATATTTGAATAAGGAGTGTCTGGCTACATCTTGGTGCTCTGATGGCTCTGTATTGACACAGATAGAAAATAGTGATATTGCAAAATATATATATAATTGCAAAAACATTCCTGAAGACTTGCATCATGTAAGTGGATGATGCCTCTTTTCCAAGTCTTGAAAATCAGATTAGTTGCTTGCTGTTGCATTATTTACATATCAGTGCAATTGCTCTCGCTGTTTGTTCTCTTGCTAGCCTGGTTTGCAGCATGATGCACATGTATAATGGACAGCTTGGAGATTCACAGGATAGGAAAAAATGGAGGGAGATGTTGTCCTCTCTGATAAAGGTGTTCTGTTTTCCATTGCTGTTACTCATAGCAAGTGGGACCAATCTGAGCTGATAAAGAATGCATGAAGAGAATTTAGATGCGTCTTCAGTGAAAATCTTAATGAGTTTGGTGTTTCCTGCGAAAGAGGTGAAGAGTAGGATAAAAGGTTGATACTTCCAGCTGGATCATAGAAACCGGCTTTCTGGTGAATTTCTGCGTTCTAGAAACTTTTGAGGTGATTTTGTTCTTCCTGCTTTGCACAAAAATAAATTATAAGATGGGAAACAAAGTGCAGCTCTCATCCCCTTTGCTAGGCAACTAACCACAGGGGTTGTGAAGAACACGTAGCAGTGGACCACCAACAGGACTTTGAGATAAGACTGTTCTCCCAAGCAGTTTAACTAGACCCTGTTGTTGCTATGTATGATGTCTTAGCAATTAAAAAAAATTAAAAAAAGCTGAAGGAATGTGCTATGCTTTGTATAGAGAATGACTCAATGAAGCAAGCTTTGTGAGATGGAATAGCAGCTTCTGCAAATGAGAGAAAAAAAAAGGTTCTAATCAAATTTCATTTGCAAGTGCATCAGTATTCGAAACAGCACATAGAATAAATTCCCTTAGAAGTTAAAGTTCAAAGAGGAGGTCCCTAGCTAAACATAAACTCACAGCTTTGCAATTACCTACTGAAGTAATTTCTGTGAAGAATTGCAGGGGCTAGGAGGCTTTCAGAAACATTGGTCTTAGCCATGTGCTAGTATTACATGCTGTATTTGGATCATTATTAAAATATTCATAGAATATTCAGCCAGTTTTACCATTAATAATTCAGAATGCAGAATATTTTAATAACCTCAATGTACTTTAAAGGTAGCAATGTTTACTAAGAGAATAAAGACATCAGTTTTTCTCAAAGGTGTAAACACTTAAATATGTACTTCTGCCTTAAAATGGATATGTTCTGGATTGGATCTCTGATTTGAAGGATCTTTAACATTTCAAGGTGCTAAATGTGACATTTATCTCATCAGTGAAAAAATCTTTTCCATGTAGCAAATATAATCCATTGCATGTAATTTCACCATGCATTGTCAGCTGGGTCTGTTCTTTTTACCATGTGTTCATGACCATGTGTCATATTTGTAGTTCAGGGATTTATAGTCTTACTTGCCAGTCACCACTAAATTATCTTGCTACCAATTGCAGTCTTTTATTGGAAACTGCTGGACGTGTTTGTGATGGTTTGTTCTGTCTGTTTACTTACGTGCTCAGAATACTAATCACACTGTTTAAGCTTCATTTTTTAGTATAATTCATGTTTTAATCAATTACACTTACTAAAAATATGGGCTTTCTGGAAGGAAAGGAAGATTGTTATTTCAGGGTGTTGTGTTTTGTATTTTTAAAGAAACTTCTTGTTTAGACTTGACCTTTGTTACGAGGCTGCACTTTTGTGGAGTAGTTACTACTCAAATATTTTACTGAGAAGAGTACCCTTCCCTGGCAACCTCTCATGAACACACTTTCCTGAAAAGAAATCAAGAAATACAGGCAAACTTTCTCTGAAGCATCTGCAGATGCTGCGTGGGCTGCCTTTTTTAGCTGACACCGTAGCAGCGCTGCTGCATCCTCGTACTGAAGTGCTCTGAAAGCTGCATCAAAGGAGGCAGAAAGCGGACTTGGGCGGCTCATTTTTCAGAAGCTTAGACTAAGCCCAGAAGCTCTGATCTTGG